CCCCCAAAACCCCAAAACCCCAAAACCCCTTTTAGGAAGGATTTTATAGAATATGTATAAGCTACGGATTTTTTTAACCAACTGCTCTTTTATGCCCAATAGCAGCTAAGGAGATCACAAAAGCTTGTACAGAGTTAAGAGGGCTTCGATAGTCGACGTTGTAATGGTTCTTCTCTTCTTTACCATGCATCAAGATAATATCTCAATCTGTATCTCCTTCTTCTACAAGTTGGAAATTTTTGGCAGATGCTTGTAAAGCTCTACCATAGAAATTAAGACAGTATCATCCTCGGTCTTCATACCATTTCGGCTTAACATTCTCTAAAGTTGTCTCTTCATTATCATTTTCAGGATTATCAAACAGGAATTTGAATGCTCTTGGAACTTCTGCTAGGATATTTGTTTCATATTGGATCTTTCCATACTGTTTTGGCTTACTTAAGAAACCTTCTGGTACAAGGTCTTCCTCAAGTTCAAGATCAATTCCATAATCAAAGAGATCAAACCCAGTTCCCCAAAAGTTGGCCTTCAGTACTCCAATATAATGAGGGCCGTATCTAGTAAATTCTCCGCTATTTATTAGAGATTATGAATTTTCCATTCACAGACCCTCTCATTGCATACAAACTTTGATGGGTAGGGTCCTCACAGTGAATTTCATAATAATGAGGGTAATCAGATAGAACTCCTTGAATACTCTTCTTTCTGTCTACTTTTCAAGGGTAAAAGTTCATGTTAGTCTTAAAGCATTTGTTTTTATCATCTCAAATGATGAGACTCACTATAAATTATTTCCAATCCTCTTACCGTTGAGGAAAAGTCCAAGGTTCACAGATTCTGGAGATTTTGAGTAATACAACTCATATCACTCGAATGTGTAGTCATTTACATTGATTTTTGAGAACTTTTCTTCTGTCAAGATTGGAGAGACTAGATGTTAAGGAATTTAAAATACCTTTAGAGTATTTTCTAAAGAGAATATACACAATGACCCAATATCAGTACTTAATTTCCTCAAGATAGGCATCTTGAAGCCCTGCCTTGATATAATCAGCAATTCATAAGAGGTAATTAAAGATGTTTTTATGAGAAATGCCAGCTTGGATGAACTCAGTCAGTTTCTTTTTCTTCTCATTTAATCCAAAGAGAGCATAGAGGTGTAACATCTGGAATTGATTACTCTCTGTTATTATCGGTGCGATTTCTTTGGCTATTTTTGATCCAGCTAGCTTATTTTTCGATCTTTGAACAAGGAAGTCTAATAATTACATTAAAACTACTTACTGATGATTTGAGAAAGAGCATCACTGTACTTATCAATAGAGGAAGAATCAGAAGAAAGAGGGATTTCTCCTTGACTACCATCTGCTTGTTGGAACTGCAAATTGCTTCCATAATCTCCCATGATGGTTATCTCAATGGTGTCTCCTTCTTTAGAGTATTTCTCTCACAATGATTTATTAATGGTAAATTCTTCAAGGATAGCCAAATCTATGTGTTAATAGATGGTATACCGTTTATTTCAAAGATCAACTCCTTTGAGTACACTGAGAAGTTCCTTAGAAATTCTATTGAGGCATGGGGATCTTTGGTATAATCTTCGAGAGATTTTAGCCTTGGCTCTGGCTTGAAGTCAAACTCTGGGATCTCGAATGATGGCATAGAACCGATCTGTAGACTCTCATATTGATCTTGGATAGCTTCGTTGCTTATACTTGTTTGATATGGATCATCAGTTGAAGCTTCTGAGTTATCTGTAGAGGAGCCAGACTCTTCTTTTGTTCCTTTGTCTGGGATTTCTTCTTCATGCTCATTGTCTTTTTCTAAATGAAAGTTTAGAATTATCATTTCTTTAAATCATAAGCTTAATGATTTGAAAGTGAATTATCTTACTCTTTTCTTCAGTGATTTCTTTGCTTTCTTTAACTTCTTCAAGTTCTATTTCTTCATTTTTATTTTCTTGATTAATTTCTTTTTCATCCATTTTAATTTCTTCCTTTTCTACTAGATGTTCTTGTTTCTCTTTCTTTTCAACTGGATGCTGCTTTTGGTTTTCTTTTTCAATTAGTTGCTTTTTATACTCTTCATAAGCTTTGTTCTTTCAATTTCCAAGTAAAATCACTTTTAAGTATCCTTTTTCTACAACTTCTTTCTTTTCTTCCTCCAATTCTAAATTATCAGAATTCAAACCAAATTTATCAAAACTGGTCCTGACAAAAACTTCATAGTTTGAAATCCAAAACAAAATTAATTCTCTTACTCATAACACCTTCTACTTGTTTCCCAACTGTCTCAACAACTTGTTTAGCTTCCTCAACCATGGCATGATTCTCATCACCATAAATCTGATGATCCTTCTGCTTATTTTCTTCATTTTCTTCTTCATGCTGATGTTCATAATGCTGCTCGTAATGCTGATCATGCTCCATATCGTCATCCTCATAATTTTTCTGCTCCTGATGATAATCATAACCCATATTCTGTCCTTCTGGATTACCATCTTTCCAAGAAGAATCATAACTAGGCCCACTCTTGTCAAGAAAATCATCTTCTGGATGAGAATGCATGCCTATAAACCAAATAAGACCTCTAATTATAACCTGGAACAATAAAATACCATCATAAATTTAACTCACTCTTTTCTTCATGAGGCGTGTGTGCTGCATGGGATTGGTCTTTGTTGATTGGGTGCTGAAGGTCTTCACCGGAGTAGAACTGGTCTATGTAGCTGTAGTAGGTCTGGTCTTGGGTGGTTGGGTTAGTGGGGGAGTGGGGAGGTAAAGGAGGTGATAGGTCTACCTAGAGGGAGAGGTGAGGATTGGAGGGAGTGGGATTTGGGAGGTTAAATGGATGTTTGGGGGAGTTAGAGGATTTTTAGTGATCTTGTTTTGTTAATTAAGGTGTGGAGTGTTTGTTTTATATACAAAGAGGTTCATGGATTTTTGGGAAGTTGTGATAGAGAATAAAGAGTAAATTTTTGGAAAGTGTGAGTACGAGAAGTAGAGATATAATACGATAGAGGCACAAATAAGTTAAAAAATCTATGTAGAGATATTTTATGCAGCGATAAATGTTAGGATCTTTTACAAACTAAAGATTTGGACAAAAGATAACCTCTTCTTGAATATTTCAAGCAAGCGATAGGAGATTACTTAAGTAGCCAAAGTAGAATTAATTCTATTGATATAATATCGGAAGAGTACAATGTTTATTCATTGATTAGCTTTCAAGAACAATCCTAAAAAGTTTGCTCACCATCAATATTCCAGATACCTTCTTAATCCAAGCAGCACATATCAAGGTTATTAATATCAAACACCCAAAATTCCAAACTAAGGTCTCAAACAACACCTGATTTCCTCAAAATCCTCTCTAATCCAATAATCTTCAGTTCACAAATACTTGCAAAAAGATTCTTCTCAAAAATTCTGCTGACTTACAGACTGAAACTCCTCATCGTGGTCTGTCCTACTTGCTTCAGGGCCCTAAACCCACAATCACACTGCACTTCCACTGGTGAACTTACATTAGGTTCGGAATGCTGGTCAGGGGACTTGAATTGTTGGTGCTGTTCTTCCATTTTTAATCAATGTTTATTAATTGAGCTGGGGTTTTGGGGTTTTGGGGTTTTGGGGTTTTGGGG